GGCTATGTGCTTTTTTGGGGATCGATTTTGCAGCGGTCACTCCTACCTTGCCGGCTACATCGTGAAGGCCCGAACCACACAACGCCAAGTCTTCTCCGCAGCAGCAACGTAATCATCCGCTATCTCGGGAACAGCCGTGAACTTAAAGCCAGTCACCGCTTTGTTTGTAAGGCCACAACAAAGGATATCCTGGGAATTGAGTATCCTTTCGCGTCGTTGTCCTTCGCCTAGTGGACCGTTGTGTAGGGCTGCGCTGGCACCAAGCCACCAAATTACGTAGGGCGTGTGCATCGTCTCTCGAAGAATCTCTAATTTGAAAGCGTTTTTACCATGGGGTAGAATTGTGAAACTTGTATTTCGGGTCCCTAGGTATGCTTCACAAAACGTTCCACGTCCACATTCTTGTTGAGAATGGATGCTTACTGTAAAGTAGTCGCTCGTAGCAGTCATTTGAAACTGCGTCACACCGGAACTCCGTAGGTGTGCATATGAGGACGCGGTACCGAATGCTGAGAAGCGCGATGAACATTCCTTCCTGGTCCAGGAGGAGCATTGGCTGCTTGCGATGCTGAACCAGAATCAGTAGAGTGAGACGGATACCTAGGTTTTTGGTTAGTGCAACTCCTACATCTCCTTACCAACTTTGGAAAGCGAGTACGTGTTAGCATCATGCGCTGTTCTACGTCCGAGATCGTAAGCTCAGTTCATAGAATACCGATGGGTTTTTCTTCTTCGCTTTTCACTGAACGTCGATAAAGGATTCGTCATCCACATGTGACACCCCAATGCAGTAGTTTCTAGGCCCCAAAATAACCCAAATTCGCTCTTCATCTGACTTAATTCTTCCCAAATACCCTCAGATAGGCAAAATGGCTTCAGCTGACATCTGTCCCAAAATACATCCGTGCTACTGCAGGTCCAGCCAATGAGCTAGCTCGGCTCGACAGCTACGCGGAAATACCTAATCGGGTGAATGCGCTGACATGACGGCTCAGTCAGCCCTACAAGCGGTTGTCGCGCTTGTTTGAAGAGTGCAGGAGTGCAAGATCGGTATGGTTTAAAGTCCTATTTTTGGGGGGCTGTGTAGGCGGAAGCGAATCTGCAGATATTCTTGTACTCAAGAGTCAAGCCGAGTAGACATGTTGCGAGGTGGGCGCGTAGAGCTTCATGTCGGCGATGTATGCGTCTTCATGTGAGAGAAGAAAGTCGGCGATATGTGCAATGTTGTTGCGGGTGTGTTGTATAGCCCTCTGTCGCCAATACTGCCAGTGTCGTCCTCCGATGTAACCTCATATGTTTCCGAGGCGTCCGCCAATCGTCTGGCTCGTTAACCGATAGCGATAAAGCACGCGTGCTGTACGATCGAGTATGCCTGCCATTCAGCCTTGTGCTTCGGTAAATCGCATTCATCTGCTTCGGTGATCCATTCATCACCGGCTCCCACTCCCCTGGGTACCGATCGTAATCGGAGTCCATAGATAGTGCCAGGGGTTTGCGCTGCCGCAATGCATCATGACTTCTTATCCACGTTGCCGGGATGCCGTGACGCATGATCGCTCGTTTACATCCTTCCTGCTTCCGTCACGCGAGTGTGGCGCTTCTCCCGATGCCGAGTGGAACGGGAAGCCGAAAGAACGTGAGCGTCTATGCAAGTTGTATTGGCCAAGTCTTACATTTCTTGCTTCCGAACGGTATAGGATCTGTCCTGATAGGACGTACCACTATACGGATAAGGCTGATTGAGGCTTGGTCAAGCTTCTGGGCGTCTCCGGATATGTCGCTGTCCGAATGCTGAGTTGATATGATTTGCAGCGACTACTTTCTGTGCGGGAGCAGATTGAAGATTGACGGAAATTCGGATCAGCCAGTCGCGATAACAACCAAGAAGGAACTAGTCGTATGGTCGCCGCTCACTCGTTGCTTCACAGCCCTGGTGCACACAACCCTCGTCTTCAGCCCACGTACCGCATTGCGCGAACTCTGTTCCTGCATCGACGTATACCATCTCGGAGGCGTTTCCGACCAACTTGGTGTATGGCAGCGGCAGCTAAACCAAACCAAGGCTCAACCACTGCGCATTATCGCAATAAGGGCCTTGGAGTGCTTCCAGCTGGGTATTGTGCTGAAAGTAGTAGTACCGGAAGACTCATACCGTGTCATGATCGGGCTGCACACGTCGGCGACTGCCGCGTACGCAACGCTCCAAACTCAACACCATTTCCAGCTTCCAGGCACCAACGGTCGGACATGGGTGTAGAGTTCCCCCGCGCGACGTAGCAGGCATATGGGCGGGTAAGGCTCAAACGCACTGCCATGCACTGTATCCCCCGGTGGGCTCGAAACAGCATCTTGGCCACCTACGCAGCCCTATTCGCTGCTTCAGACGACCCAAGCCCACGGGGCGGCCTCCAAATGTGGAACAGCAGGTTGCAACGCTGCCCAGAAGGAGTTTGCGCTCGCACATGGCTTGCAGGCATTCGTGTTGCACGCCCAGCATTGCCCTCGCCGGCGGTCCACGGAAAACGGCCCCGTCCAAGCGAGATGCAGCACAGCAATCGTCGGGGGATCGCGATGGATGAGTAACAGTGTGACGAGCACGATAATTGACTCGAAACTGCAAGTCGCCCGAATGCGCGACCGACGGGAAACGATGAATTGCCTCGAAGAGGTTCTTGCGACTGGTGTGAGTGCACTGCGCAGGTACGCAGTCTGGCGTAGGGAAAGATGCTTGTCGGTGATGATGTTGTATGACTGTGTCGTGCGTTACGGCAGCAGGCCAATGGCAAAACGACCCGCGCTTGTCGAGAAAGTACCTTGGCGTGTGCTGCAAGCATCCAGATTGTACCTAACGGCGTAGGGTGTTGTTGGTGGTGGTGGTGAAGAAGAAGACACATGTATCCTGATGGAAGGGGTGTATAAGTTAGGCAGACATGCGTCGTCAATGCAGAAGCACACCTTCTTCGTCATAGCCCGATGCACGATGCACGAGGACTGACATTCCCTCTGCTTTGCAATCGCATTCCCATAAAGTCACCAATGAAGACCTGTGTCGCACAGTTTCCGCATGGTTCCATGTAATCAGCAGCAGGGATGCCATCAGCCGCGCACGCTGCTGCACGCCCATCTTATCCACCTGGCGCGTGCACTGCATTGCGGCTCCAGTTTCCCACCCGCGAGCACAGGTCCCCCTCTCACTGCCACGCACCCACCCACAGACCCTGAAACTTATTCCTGTCTACCCAAGCAGACGGCTTTGCGTGCTGCGCAGTCGTACGGCGAGTAAGAGGAAATGATGACTAGATGCCTTGTTCGTGGCTTGAACCAGGTTCCGTCCGCCACCAGTTCCCGCCGTTCTGGTTGGTGGTGTAGGGGGGAACAGGTAGGTGAACTGTGCGGTATAAAGACGGTTTGGATGCCTGGACCATGGGAAAGCAGGCAAGCAGAGCAAGTAACAGTTTCCGATCCGTCCCAGTCACCATACCCGAGCGCCCTTTTCTTCCCTCGTCCTTTCCTAGTCCGCTTTCCTGCATTCTCTGGTGTCTTTGTCGGCCTCTTGTTTCATATAAGTCGAGTCGCTTCTTCCCTTTGAGTCAAAAGTTTCACTCATTCAGCATCCTTCCACACCATCTTCTTCCGTCTTCGACTATTGTTCCATTGTTTCATCCGCGTCTTCCTGCTATATACCCCACGCACAGTGTCTTCGTCAGGAACAGCATTGTTTCACTCTGAGACTACACCTACAACTACACCATCTTCAAGACACTACCCGATGGGTCGCGGCGGTTACAACTAAGACCTGTGCATTCATCTCAATACCAAAGACCCGGCTCTTTGTTCATCAAGTCTGCACGTCAACCAATTTCAAAGTCGAACAAACAGATCAATCACAATGTCACCACCAAACACCCAGGAAGAATCGGCCAACATGGGTCGCGGAGGCTACAACTAAGCACAACGGCTGCTACCGCAATCCCGCAATCCGAAACATTCATCAGCATCCTTGCGGCGTGGTTCACCATGGCCACGCCTCACACCATCACACTCCACTTCCCGCCACTTCCCGCCTCCCGAACACTCCGCAAGAGACGCCTCGAACGATGGAGGCCATCTCTGACTTCTTAGGCCTCGGCCATCTACTTCTTCCTTCGGCTTCATATTTCTTTCATCTCTGTATCATCACACACTCTTCACTTGTACCAATATCTCCTCTTTCTATCCTTGATCTTCATCTTGATCCTCATTTTCTTGTTTTGAATCGGCATTAGCGAGCGTTGGACTCTTTGGACCTGGACACAGGCTATGAACTATGGGCTACGGAATCATGCAAATTGTATGTCACAGCATTTTGAGGCGTTTGGAAAGGCTGGGATAAGCTCTTCATTGAGCGATGGGTAACGGACCTGGGTACTGTTTCTAGACACGGAGTTATTCGGCGTTGGGCGTACTGTTTTCGAGTTTGCTTCGGGTTTCTCTGCTTTTCTCCTCAATCAAGATCTCCTTTTCCCCGATACGACTGTTTACGGCGTTTTTGCATTTTGAACCACCAGCAGGTCTGGTAGTAGAGCTTCATCACTTCTGCTTTGACTAGAATAGACAATTGATACCTTGACGGTATCCTCTCCCCACACTACAAATCGTCCTCGCAAGCTGTGATTTGAAGTAACGCCAGTACCGTGACTGCGTTCGCTACTTTCCGACACAGAATCTGTAAGAAGGTTGACGTCAGCAAAGGTTCGTCACGTGGTCTTTCGCGGCCGCAGCTGAGCGTAAGCCGGCAAGCATCATGGGGAAAGAGTTCGGTTATCCAGACGCCCTATGCAGCAATCGATACTGCACAGACACATCCTGCTATTACCATTGTGGCTTTCCCCAGCAACGCCCGCTTGGCCCCCTCTCGGGTGCAACCGTCTGACTCAAATGGGGGCCAAAGTGTAGAACGCCTTGCCAAAGATTCCAGAACGTGACACGACATGAGGGCACGAGATTTAGGCTAGAGTCACTTACTTTTCGAAAACGACCCCCAACACCTCTTCCACATCGCCGCTACCACCCCGGCCTGTGATGCGGGCCAATGCGTCGGCGGCGGAGCGAAGGCACTCTGCAGCGACCACAATATCGACCTCGTCGGCCTCGCCTGGTAGTTCCTCACCGGTTCTGGTTGTATCGGCCGAGGGCTCGGTTACGGTTGTGAGGAAGGCGGAAAGGTGGCTGAGACATTCGGAGAGAAGAAGACGTTGACGCTCGGTTGCGCCTAATGACTCTTGCCAAATGCTTGGATCGGGATCCGAGTCAGGAACTAACGCGGCTGTCATAGACTTGAAAGTATCCTGCAAGATAGTGAGGAATTCCGGGATGTTGTCGCTAGTTGGATAAGGTATCGGCCCTGTGAGCGGCTTACATGTAATGAAGCACAGGCGGTCTTTAGAGAGGCCCAGGACGGAGTGAATCTTTTCTTCCCATTTCGCCCGCGAGATATCGAACGTGTAAAGTTGGTCGCGCTTGTTGAGAGCAACAATGACCTCGATGCCGACATCAGCACACTGCTTTGCCGTCGCCATGACCTCAGGATCCATCTCGGCTGTGGCGTCTTGAACGACAATCAGCACGTCTGATTCGAGTGCTCGTTGCTTCGCGCGCTTGATGCCCTCCTGTTCAACGGCCCCAACGACGCTCGCACCTGCGACACCAGCCTGGCGAAGGCCGGCCATGTCTCCAATCTTGACAAGCCACCCACCCAGATCCAATCCTATCTCAACCACGTCGCGCGTTGTGCCAGCTTCCTCAGAGACGATAGCAGCGTCTCTCCCAACTATGCGATTCAGCAAACTGCTCTTGCCTGCGTTGGGTGCACCGAGAAGCGCAATGCTAATGCCATTGCGCAGCATCTCTCCACGAACGGCGTTGGCAACGTGCGCCTCCATCTGCACCTGCAAGGCACGGACTTGAGTTGCGACGGAGGCGCATAGAACAGCAGGTGATTCGTCAAAGTGTTGGTCTTCGGAGAAATCGATCAAGGCTTCCAGCTCGCCCCGGGCCTGCAGCAACAGCATGCGCCAGTGCTCGTATCGTGTTGCCAGTGAGGAGGTTGTGCCCCTCACTGAGATCTTGCGTTGCTGCTCAGTCGAAGCAGACAATGTCTCCCCTAGCGACTCGATCTGGGGCAGGTCCATTCGGTTGTTGGCGAAAGCGCGCCGTGTGAACTCTCCAGGCTCAGCATAGCGGATCTCCGTGCGCTTCGACTTGCGAGTGTTTGGTATGTTTGCGCATTCAGGTATGGCTGAAAGGACTGCGCGTACAATAGCCGGGCCGCCATGTACGTGCAGTTCGAGCACGTCTTCTCCGGTCACAGTATTGGGCGCGGGAAAGTAGAGTACGAGGGCGCCAGAGTCGAGTATCGTTGCGGGCGAAGGGGGTACATGTGGGGTATATAGCTTGCGTAGGGTCGCCTGGCGAGGCTTCGGAAATGCTGTAGAGGGACATAGCCCTTCGTATATCTACGAAGCGTAAGGACGGGAAACCGATCATGGGGTGGAGAGTGCAGACCTGCCTACATGCCGGACCCGAGGCACGAATGACAGCTATTGCTGCCCTTCCACTAGCAGTAGAAAGCGCATATATCGTCGGTTCCTTGCTATCTGTATGGTACAGACGTGGCCGGCATGTCGTCAAGGCGCGCTGCACATGGAGGGGTTCATGGTGGAGCGATGCAATTCGCGCGATGTGGGTCGAATGGAGTACGGCACGAATAGGAAAACAAGGCGCTCTCAATTGAGTGAAAGGATTGCGACGGAGAGATGAGACGACAGCTCTCATTCCGCCAGTTGAGGTTTACATCGTTGTCGCATCTGGAATTCGTGGTAGCTCCGCTGCACCTCCGCAGTGGCCCGTGCACGCGCTAAGATAATAATTTCTTGAGATCGTCGCATGTCTACTTTGCTACTACAACACCTGTTCCCTTCGCGCCAGAACGCACACACGATACCCCGAAGGACCCTCTGTTCGCTTTTCGCCGCGCTGAAAGACTATTGTTGAAGGGATCCTCGCTTCTGTGTTTACGTGCGTCCGCGGAAGGACTTCATTGCCGCCATGGCCTCGGACGATCTTGTATGGTCCGTTATTGGCACCGATTTCTGCAGCTTCAGTGCGTGAGCCTCTGTAAATATGCATACAAGATAATGCTGACCTTGTCTACTCAGAACTCAAAACCACAAAAGACCAAACTTTCTGCAGAAACGAACACAACGTATCAGGTTACTGCTCCAAGCAGTCGTGCCCCCTCGCGAACTCACGCTATGCCACGATTCGCTCAGATCCCGCGACCGGCGAGCTGTATCTATACATCAAAGCGATCGAACGCGCACATCTTCCGTCGCAATGGTGGGAAAAGATAAAGCTTCCTAAGAACTATAGCCAAGCGCTCGAGATGGTCGACCAGCACCTCACATACTTCCCCAAGTTCCTTAAGCACAAGAACAAGCAGCGCTTGACTCGTCTTACTCAAGTCAATATAAGGATACGGAAACTGGCCAAGGAAGAAGAGCGTCTAGGAGAGCGCCTAGTTCCTAGACTGGCACCCAAGGTCCGCCGACGAGAGGAAGGCCGTGAGCGCAAAGCTCTCGCAGCCGCCAAGGTCGAGCGCGCCATCGAGCGAGTTCTCATCGACCGTCTGCGCAGTGGCGCATACGGCGATCGACCGTAAGTTCATCCCCCTCTTCCCACTGCTGCCATGATTATTCGCTTTTTAACCCTGAGATCCTTCGATGAGGATCAAAAACAACAACAACACTCTAATTTTTTAATGAGCACCGTCACACTGTCAAGCATTTACTCAGTTCCTGTATGAGTTTGAGACTAACTGCAAGACAGGATCAACGTTGAACCAAATGTCTGGAAGCGTGTCATGCGCGGCCTGCAGAAAGAGGGCCAGCTCAAGGGCGACGAGGATCTGGACGAAGGCATTGAGGAGGAAGACGACAACGAATACGAACACGAGATGGAGAACGGTGTGGGCGAAGTCGAATACGTGAGCGACATTGAGGGCGAATCCGACGACGAGATGGAGGACTTTGAAGACTGGATAGGCGGACAGAGCCCTGATGAAGGCTCAGGTGACGAAGACGACGAGAGCGGTAGCGGCAGCGAAGAAGATGAGGAGGATGAGTCTGCAGATGAGGACACAGAGGCTCTCAAAAAGACGCTCGCAAATCTCAAGCGCAAGCGTCCTGCTGGCCCGCCACCCAAGCCCAAGAAGAAGCCCTCGAAGGACTCAAAAGGTCCGAGACGCGAGATCGAATACGAGATGGAGAGAGAGCCCGCTGCGAGAGAAGCTATGCGCGTATGATACCTCTAGCATGGTCACACTATTGGCGTTCAGCGTTGGGATGTGGATTTCGCGTCTTAACGACCTAGGAAAAGCATTTCGTCTTTGCGCCAGATGCGCATTTCCAGCGATCCTCGGGTTGATACCATCTCATCATATAATGCCTAAATGCTTTATATATTCACTTTGGGGCTTCATGAGCCATGGCACGTTGTTTGTTAGTATTCACAATGGTCAACAAAGTGAACCAAATATCACACCATCCAAGCAGACGCTTCCTTCCAATCTTTGGGCTTCAGAATTCGAAATCACCCAACCAGAGAACCCGTACAAACACCATGTCGTCAAATCAGGTCGATCCTTTTATGGGCGGTCCGCGAAATCTGGACGCGGCGAGTGAAGCTGAATCTGTCCAGAACGCCTGGGAAGATAATCGCGCATTTGCTGTACCCAGGATAAGCCCGTATTCTGTTTCAGAGACAGTTCTGCCCCCAACGAATGAATCTCCTCTTCAGCCGGGTACTTCCCAGTCCAAGCCCACTAACCTAAACGACGAAGACTTTGGCGACTTTGTAACAGCGTCCACTGATCCTTTGAAGCGACCCATCTACGATACAACGGATAATGAGAGCGAAACACAGGGGCTATTGAACTCTTTTTCTGCGCCTGTGTGGGAAGCTGATACTTACATCGGCATGGGCCTTGTCGAGCCTGTCATCGCTGGGATAGGCATGTTCAAACGGACAGTATTACCGGCAAGGAATCTGGCTACCTGGAAACTGAACAAAAGTCGAGCACAGATGATTATGGAAGAACACAAGAAAAGGCGACTGCAAAAGCGTGTGGTCTCGGCGACTCCTACACCTGCCCCATCTCCTACGAAGAAGGGCGCAACGGGGGTCACCACTAGTTCATTCGGAGCTGACTACAACCAGTATCTAGACACGCACAGTAGAGATATTTCAGCGTCGGACCTGAACGGAGTGATGCGACCAGTAAGCTTGACAGCACCGATCGATGAGTTGATGGAGACCGAGCGTAAGGCTTGGGGGCCTTAAGTATGGGAACGTTGGCCAAACCGCTTAATAGATATAATAACTAGTCATCCTAGGTTTACAATGGACCTTGCATGACTCTGAACACCTTCGAATCGAGGATGTATGCATGTGCGTTGGAATCCGTTTACTGCTTGCATCATCACACCAGTTAGACGCGTGTGAAAGAGATGCAGATGGCCGTGCTAGCGGCATCAGATAGAAAATGCAACGGGTGTAAAAACAAGATCGAGATGTCGCATGGGTACTCGCGGTGAACATTACTCCAAAAATGCAGTGGGCCAGCTGGGCAGCATCGAAAGGACTCACGTGCAAGTTTTAGTACACCCGCAGTGCAACTCCAACAGCGCGTTCTCCACAAAGAAGCCTCCCCCAAGCCATCGGCTCCACAGTCTTAATCCGAACCGAGAAAACTTGGTGCTGTCGCGTGGTTGACGCACCCTGTCCCTGATGATCGTAAATCCCGCAAGCTGGATACTTCAACCGGCACACCTACCGTAGAACCAAATACCTCCCCGAAGACTTGGGTTTGACAACACCCGTCCCTTCGAAACGAGGACATTTTTAGGCATTTCCCAGGTTATTCGCACAAGTGCTGACGTGCGGAACTACGCTTTTTGGCAAGCCGCCCAAGCAATTTCTTAGACCAGCCGAAGCATCGGACTAGGCCGGAGCATTTCGCGCCTTCGCGATGCTTAGCCACCACGCACCAAAGCGGCGCGAAACACCGTCTTGGTGTGCCCGTGTCGCGAACTTTCACCCTGTTAGCGACATCATAATGCGCCGGGAGTACCTATTGCGGTAATTCCGATGGGCGACTGCGAGCTGACTGGTGAATTGCGACGAATCACACAGGGCGACCCTGGCATCCCCGTGCGATCGGGTAGTGTGTCTTTCTCCGCACGCCAAACTCCACGGGGTTGGGATCACCAGCGGCTCCAGACCAAACGTCATCGTCGAGAGCAAACTGTGGGGATGACGCCGGTAGACAGGGCGGTTCGGCGTTATTGCTGGGTTGGCGGCGTGAGGACGGACTCTACTGTTACATTGGTGGCAGAGAGTCGCGGTTGCCTTTTCACATTTTCTTAAGAGAGGGTCATCGCGCCTGCTGTCGTACCCCATCGATCGCACCTCGCACGAACCGGAAGCGAGCTGGCCTCTTGTGTTGTTGTTTTGTCGCAACGCCCTTCTTACCTCGTTGTTTAGCACGACAGGCATTGATCGTTGGTATTACTAAACAAGATGGGCAAGTTCTATGGCCTCAAGGGCACTAAGCTCAACATTGCTATTGCTGTGATAGCAGGCACGGATTTCGCGCTCTTTGGTTATGGTAAGCATTCATGCCAACACTGTCGGTATCAGGTCTAACATTGGCTCAGACCAAGGTGTAATGGGCGGTTTGCTCACGCTGGGCTCTTTCATCAAATACTTCCCCGAAATCGACAGCAACAACCCACCCCCAGGGAGCTCGAAAAGCCATGCCGCAACTATCCAAGCCATCACAGGTAAGCTCGTTCAGCATCTAAATCCAACGTCGCTAATGTCCGTCTAGTCGGTGCCTACACACTGGGCTGCTTCTTCGGCGCCGTAGCAACCATCTGGCTCGGTAACATGCTCGGGCGCAAGAAGACCATCTTCATCGGCAGCGCTATCATGATAGTCGGAGCCATCCTCCAAACAGCATCGTACGGACTCGCACAGCTTATCATCGGACGATGGATCACCGGTTTCGGCAACGGCATGAACACAAGCACAGTCCCAACATGGCAGTCCGAGACTTCGAAACCACATCGCAGAGGGCAGATGGTCATGATTGAAGGCTCAATGATTGTCTTCGGTGTCATGCTTAGCTACTGGCTCGATCTCGGCTTCTCCTTCCTCGAACCCAGCAGCATCGCCTGGCGTTTCCCTATCGCTTTCCAGATCATCTTGGCCCTTTTCATTCTCGTTATGATTCCTGGTCTTCCCGAAAGTCCGCGTTGGTTGGTACTGAAGGGTCGCGAGGAAGAGGCTCTTGAAGTTTTGGCTGCGTTGAGCGACCTTCCTATGGACGACAAGAAGGTCGAAGCCGAGTTCCAGGCTGTCAAGGATGTTACTGAGGAGATGTCACGTGGTGGCTTCCGCGATTGCTTCAAGAGGAACAAGAACCGCAACTTCCACCGCACTGTGTTGGGCTATGTCAACCAGATGTTCCAACAGGTCAGTTTCGCTTTTCCAACAGGACAGGAGATGGTAACTAACAATACTCCAGATCTCCGGAATCAACCTGGTAACCTACTACGCCGCCACTATCTTCGAAAACTCCATCGGTCTCTCGCCCTTCCTCAGTCGCCTTCTATCCGCCTGCAACGGCACCGAATACTGGATGGCTAGTTGGATCGCCATCTTCACAATCGAGAAGTTTGGACGCCGCTCTTTGATGATGTTCGGCGCAGCCGGCATGTCCATGTCCATGGCCGTGCTAGCAGGCGCAACCAGCAACATCGGTAACACAAGCCTGGGTCTCCTCGCCACCGTCTTCCTCTTCGTATTCAACTCCTTCTTCGCTATCGGCTGGCTAGGCATGACATGGCTGTATCCCGCTGAAATCACACCACTATCCATTCGCGCGCCCGCCAACGCGATCTCCACCACAGCCAACTGGATCTTCAACTTCCTAGTCGTAATGATTACGCCCCCCGCCTTCGCAAATATTGGCTACCAGACCTACATCATCTTCGCCGTTATCAACGCTGCGATGGTACCCTCGGTATATTTCTTCTTCCCAGAGACTGCATACCGCTCTCTCGAGGAAATGGATGAGATCTTCCACGCGGCAAGCGGTCCATTTGATGTTGTTGGTATTGCGCACAACTTGCCGCATCGCTATGGCAAGAAGGGCGAGTTGCTTGTTGACTATGCGGATACGGAGCAGGCGCATGAGGCGGAGAGGAGGAGGAGCTCGGTTGTCGCTACGCCGTCGAATGGGGGTGTGCTGGCAAAGGACAATGAGAAGGAGCTTAGGGAGCATGTTGATAATGCGGGGAAGTAGATGGTGGCTGATGGGTTGACGATGATGAATACATTGTATTCTTCGAATGTGACTGTTCCGTCTAGGTGTGTGCAGTTGTCTTCTTCGACGTGACATTCATGACTACTAAGTGATTCATCTCCTCTTTCTTGAGCTAGGCATGAACGTATTTGCGTCCTCCATTTCGTGTGCCCAATAGACTGATAGACAACTTTGGTGTAAGCAGACGTCTCTCGCACCATTTTCTCAACGTCTCATTCGATCCTGATCGTTGGTCTGACTCTCATCTCTCCCATCATACTTCACCCTTCTCGGCTCCTTCTCCAGCCCATCCCACATTTCCTTACTGTAATACCCAAAGCAAACATCGCAGTTCCCACACTTGCCACAGCCTTTGGGCTCCCTACGACCCGTATACACATTGAAGACCCAATCTGCTGGTCTCTCACCCCACGGACCGCTCTTGAGGTCGTACTTATCAGGCGCCTCAGGAAAGTCAATCTGATGGCGCGGCTTGGAGCGATTCGTGAGCGTATGAAGATCCCTGCCCCTCTTCCTCGCTACTTCAATCGCGCGACGGAACCAGACCTTGCTCTTTTCATTCGGTGAGGGTTCTCCTCCGCGCCCAGGACTAAAAGTAGTGATGGGCCCACTGCTCTTCTCCACGTTCTCCAGATACACAGCTTTCGTCACTGCGATTCCGGGCCCTGGGACTCCGGTCAGAGACAGCATATTATACTTGCGATTTCTCTCATTCGTGAGAGTATCTTTTCGTATAGGTCGTCCTCCGATCAGAGAAATGATGGCATCTTCGAAGCCTTGTTCCTCGTTCGGTTCCCATTTGATGTAAGATTCGCTGAGTGATCCCCATAGAACCAGGGCTTCATAATTCCATACACTCTCCAAGAAGCAGCGTTCCAGATACGCTCCGTCGCTCTCCCAATCTTCTGCGCTGTCGTCTCTTTGGTAGCAGGCCTCGAGCTCAATGTCTTGGATGTCCATGCAGAGGTGCTTCAATTTCCTCATATTGCTGAGTTCTTCTGGGCGGAAGGCTGCGCAGCGATCGCCGTGGATTTTATGGGGATTGTCATGATAGTCATAGAACATCAGACTTTCCAGGGTGTTCCCTTGGTAGGTGCCGAGATTGCGAACGAGTTCGTCCGCGTCTTCGAGTCGAGTCGCATCGCCGGCGCGGAAAGAGGCTGTGATGAGTCCTGATGGGACGGCAGTAAGAGCAGTGAGGAATTCTTGCCCAAATTCCCCACAACTGTCCAGGAAGAGATGTTTGACAGGGGAGGTTCCAGCAGGTAGAAGGTTCCTCCAGGGCGTCCTGTCTTGAAAATCACCTACGCAATCTCTAAAGTATATCTTTTCGAGGCTTGGGAGACGGAGGAACTGAACAAGAAATCCTGTGTTGCAAGGCCAGGTATTGGGATGATAGGCCGCATCCAGCCAAGTTCCGGTGGGCAGACCAACAGCGACTGAACGAAGATTTTTGAGGCCAGGTCCCCAAGAAGTTTTCTTGTTGTGAGAGTCGTTGATAAAAGTTTGAAGCCAGTCGAGACATGACCTCGATACCGTCCCATCCCGCGCCGTCATGACAAACTTGACGTCTCGAAGCCTAGGACAATTTGCAACGAGGAGAGCTTTCAGGTAAATGTCGTAGCCATCAATAATTTGTGTACGTGCCTCCTCGGCGCGTGTACCGGGAATAAGATCACTCTGTGCTTGATCTAATGGCTCCATGTAGTCGTCGATTTCACCAGGCATGAACTCCCAGGTTGTTGGCGACCGTGAGCTCTGATCGATTGGAACGTCGAAGTCAAGCGTCTTCCATGCATCCCATCCTGTGCGATCATACCAAAGCTCCAGACTTCGAACGTGCCAGGCTAGAATTGGGTCACCATATCCGTAAGCGCTCCGGAGGAGTGTGGGAACAGTCGTTGGGTCAATATCAGACGAAATACAATACTTTGTATGAGCGTCGCGATGGCGTTTGAGAACGTCTGCAGAGCATGCGAATAAATGCTTGCAGGTATATGCGAAGTCGATCTGAGATGCGGGAGGTATGTAGTCGATGATATGATGAACGAGTTCAGTCGCAAGATTTGTGATGAAGCACGAGCTGTTGGTATTGACTGCACAAACGTCGCTCAAGTCAGATGGATGGGAAGGCAAAGAGGCGGTGAAGGTGAAATTAAAAAGGGCTCCTTTCCATTCGTCCATGTTGTGTTTTGGGGAGCTATGAAGCGAACGCCGGATTGAGACGAGTAACCGACTTTATACTTATCGTGAGAAGCCAACTCAAAGCATGAGACTTTGTCTCGGCGTGGTGCAAGCGGTTTGGCGTTTAGGCATCCTTCTGCTGCCTTCGGCTAATAGAGTGCTAGTTTTGCCGACGCTTCCATCTCCAATTGTAGCCCGTACACGAGTAGCACAACCAATTATGCGCATTTCTGGAGACAGTCGAGAGTTGTGGTCAATCTGGCTCGCACGTCGAAGTGTCAACGTGTAGCGTACGCCACCACAAGATCATATGTCTGGTACGATGGATGGTGGTGATGAGGTATGCGGTGTCGCGTAAGCAAAGGTATCTAGTTTGTGCCTCGTGAGGATGACATGAGCGCGAAGGTAGCTATGCGCTGTAGGAGCTGATAAAGTACTGCTGTGATGTCAGTCTGGTGAGCGAGGGTGTGAAGAGTGCAACGTACTGTCAGGACCGACTCGTCATCGCCATTATCGTTGGGTAGGTAAACGTAGAGGATGAGTGCATGCTCATGACAGAAGCCTTGAGAATGTCAGCATGTTGGCAGATTTGAAGTTCGTACGACTTACAAGCGATCACTCGTCCCCCCAGCCTACCCACACTCATGACCTTACCCCAGTCACGCCCATCGATCCTCACTGTAGCCCAGCCTTCTTCACTACGCCCGTCTGCCGTGCCCAGCTGCTTCATACGCGTGCTTGGGTGTTCAGCTACGCCATCCTCTCCACCAGCGACGTGGCCAGGGTCGAGTTCTGGATTACTAAGATCGGTCCAGATGGAGGATATGTTCATGGCGTCGGATCGGATCCTCATCCTGAGGCAGCCGTGCATGTTGGCGGCAACCTCTAGTCGTGTCCTTGATGCCGTCGTCGCGGTGCTTGCCTTGGTGTCTGCCAGCGCGAGCTTGGTGAACCTGTCGCTGATGCTCTTCAGCTGCATCAGAGGAGGCAGTATGATGTGTACGTCTGGCTCTCTACAGACGGGCTCATGCAGGTGCGCTACAGTGTCTGGCGCAAGCACTCGCACGGGTATCTCCTGCGTGACAATGGTCTCACGGTTTCCTCCACCAAATTCGTTGTCAAAGGCAGCGTCGAAGCCATCGTCGTTGTTGGCTGTGGCTGCAGGGAAGGCGCTGTACGTGTTCGAGGAGGTCGTGGTGACGATGGTGAGGGCAAGCATGGGCAGGTTGTCCTTCTTGGTGAGGCGTATCTGGGCCGACGTGGCATTGAGGGCTGACTTGAGAGCGCGATTCAGCGACGTGAGCGGAACTTCGAGGTTGATGACGTTGTTCGCTGCTGACTGCACGCTGATGGTCTCGAAGATAGAGTCCTGCGCGGCGCATTAACATCCAGCCAGCGAAAGATGAGACGGCATGCTTACAATAGAGAGGACACTGCATGCGGTTAGAACGAGAGACACCGAGGTATGAGGCGTCTACTCACGCCCATACTTGAGTGCCCTGCTCTGGTATGATGGTGAAGCATACTTGCTCTTCGCTGAGCTTCACCCACGCGAGCGGGCCGAGCGAATTGAGTGACGCCGTGAGCTCTGCAAGGGGTTAGTCGCAGATTGAAGTGTCGCCTTATGCACCTACTCGTAAAGGTATTAATATTCTGTATTGACGCCTTGAAGCGCATCTTGCCGGTGTTGTCGCACGACGCAGTTGGGAAGTCGCGACGCGTCGAGAAATGTGGAGGGGAGGCCAAGCGAACGTCATCGTCTGCGCATCATTCACCACATCATCACCAGCGACCTTCACCAACTCTCCCGGTCAGCGTCGCGCAATCATCTTGTCTTATTGCGCGCAGTCTAATACATGAAGTGTCGATGAAACAGCGAAACAGCCCAAGCTTATTTATCCTCGACTACCTACGACGATGCAGCGACTTCCAACCTGGGAAGTCGTGTTCCGAACATGAACACCACTATCGCAACCCTCTTTCTACGCCTGTCTCTGCACGGAGACACCAGTGTTCGATATCGTTGTCTTCGAATACATCTAGTCAGACATTAGCAGGGACGGCTGGCACGCCATGTACAACTAACCTGTCCGCTGGTTCCTTGTATCTCATATCGACCTGCGCCGGAGATTGGGACATTCGCGCCGCTCTTCGTAGTCGCCGAGACTGCAGTAAACGATACTGTTCCAAAATTTGGTGTAGTTACAAGCTGGCCTGGGATCACCTGGTATGCCTGCACAAACCAGTTTGCCGCCAGCGCAGTCAATGAGGACGGATCCACGCCATTCGGAGCTGCGAGTGTCTGTGTTGTCCTCTTGTTCTGCGTCTTGTTCTCAATCGTCACAGTACCCCCTGCAGTAGCCACGCTGACTGTCACGGTGATAGAATTACCGTTGGCAACAGGAACCGTCGAAGTGGTATCTGTCACCGGACCGGGGAAGTATGCAGAGAAGCTTCTGAGCGTACTGTTGTACACGATGCCACCACCGAGCACGTTCTCCTGTTCAAGTGTGTCCCCAATGCCGACCCAGATCGAGAGTCGGTTGCTACCCGATAAGTTCGGTACTGTGAACTGTATATGCAGTTAGTACTCATATCACATGCAGCACGAGAGTCACTCACAGTGCCTGTTACGCTGGCAAACGAGTCGCCTTGAGGCGCTTTGAGTACTGCACCCCCACGATTCAAGTCGAAGGCGGCAGATGCAGCTGACACCCAGCACGCGAGAATAGTACTGGTTTTCATGGTTGACTTCGATCTGACCAGTAAAGAGAGGAAATGCCGTGCGACAAGACGTCCAATGAGAAGAGATGCAAAAGCTTCCGGGTTTGAAGAGCGGAAGTGGTTGACGTTCCAGAAGGATATTTGAGATTCTGGAGTCTATACCTGACAGCACCACATGGACTATATTGCTTCCATGGGATCGTACCTGGTTGATAAAGGCTCGTTCCTCGCGATCAGATCCCACTCTCTTCAACAGCCTATTCTCTCGGCCCACTGCACGCTTCAACAATCCGATCAGCACGTGACTACAACCCTTTGGCCTCCGTCGCTATCCAGCTGGGCACCTTATGATCGGCCAATGACAAAGGCGAAATTCTTTTGTACCATCCCAGCGTATCCGTACGAATGGCACGCGTTAATGAGGAACGGGGGTTGGACAATATAAACAAATGGTAAGGATTGGTACCCCACAACTTGGCGCGACGGCAAAGTAGAATAGATTGAGGCTCACGCAACCTTGTCCCAACGTCCGCGAACATCATCCTATCCGAAAAGCGGATCAACCATTCACAGTTCTTTGGTGGCCTGAGTTCTCGTTGTACAAGTGGGGCGTTATACGTTCCGCCGCTCACATGCATACAACTGCCGACGGCATGACAAGACTTCTAATACTTGTGGAATATGGAAGAGTAGCATCACTGGACTAATTCGGGCTCGAGGAATACCTTTGCCAATCACAGCAGTGCTGTCGCCGACCAAAGACGCCCAGCTCAGCATCATCATGAGATGGGGCTAATTGGCTAAGCCGACGATGAAGTATCTGCAACCCGATCAGCAGCACTATGGATGCCATGAGCTTCCAATACGATAGGTCATATCAACGTGAGTGGTTGAAGAGCGTTCGACATTGTAATCCAGGAGCGTTGATGTGGAGGCCACCCACTCATGCGACGACATCGTGCATCCACATTCATCTTTCGAGTCCCAAAGCGCATTAGCTTTCATCCAGCGCAAGATTCTGCCCATCGATGTCTTGACCAAGACCGAGTTTTGCCTTTGCGACACGGCATACCCGCTCGGCATTACCACCCTTGACCCCGGCGGTATCGCATGCATTTTCCACACTGTTGTATAAAATACTGAGCAGCAAGCATACCTCTTACCACCTCGATCTTCTCCTTTCAAGCAGGACATCACCAGCCTTCAAAATGAAGGTTTTTAGTGCTACCGCGCTTGCACTTGTTGCACCCACAACGGCGCTTCTGCGCTTCCCATGCGCTCAGTTAGTCATCGACAGGCTAGACCCTCTGGTCACACCAGGCCAGGCTCCCTCGCCGCATTTACATCAAATTCTTGGAGGTAACTCCTTCAACGTCACCATGGATCCAGAGAAGGACATGCCAGGAGAGTCAACATGCACATCATGCCAGTTCAGCGAGGACTTCTCCGTATGTTGAATCAACCATCTGTCAACTGAACGACATTGCTAATGGATCTGTAGAACTACTGGACAGCCGTTCTATACTTCAAAGCCAGAAATGGTACATACAAGCGCGTTCCCCAGATCCCCAACTCTGGCTTCAACGGCGTAAACGGAGGCATGACAGTGTATTATATGCAAGACGGCCTCTACAACTTCCAGCAAACCTCCAAAGTCCAGGCTTTTCAACCCGGCTTCCGCATGTTCATCGGCGACGTCAACGCGCGCACCAAAGACGAAGCAGAACGCTTCCGCCAGCTAACATTTACTTGCTTGGACACTATCAACACGCGCGACCCACAGACTCTCGACTTTCCCACCCAGCCGTGTAAGACGGGTATCATGACTGCTGTTCGCTTTCCCACGTACGTCTTCCTCCCCCATCCCCTTTCACGAATGCAGCATGTCAGTCTACTAATATGCCCTAGGTGCTGGGATGGTGTCAACTTGGACTCTCCAGACCACATGGCACACATGTCCTACCCAGAATTTGGGTCTTTCGAGTCCGGCGGCCCCTGCCCCGCCAGCCACCCCGTGCGCATGGGTCAGCTCTTCTACGAAGTCATCTGGGACACGAGCAAGTTTAACAACAAGGCTGATTGGCCGGAAGATGGCAGTCAACCATTCGTCTGGAGTTTCGGCGATGGGTAAGTCAAGGACTCTTATACTAGCTGGTGTGATTGCTAATGGTTTCTGGCAGCACGGGCTATGCAAATCATGGCGATTACCTCTTCGGCTGGCAAGGCGACGCACTTCAACGCGCTCTTGACTCGCCTTGCTACCAGAATTGTCCCACGCTCAAGACGCAGGATGCTGCTGCGATGAACAAATGCACTGTTCCGCGTGTTGTCAAAGAGGAGATTGATGCGTGGGTTAATGAGTTGCCTGGTGGCCACCAAGCACAGTATGTCAAGAAGCGATGGGCTGAGTAGAAGTGCACTCATTCATAGTATGAATCCAAGATTGATTCGGATTGAGATAAAGAAATTATGACTATGGACTCTGGTAGCTACTGAGTAGGTAATGCTAAGTGAGATGCATCTTTGCATCTCATCTTGCTAGTAATACATGGGATGTTCTGAAAAGAAACTTTCTAATGATGGTATATGACTCCGGCCGAAATATGGCACTGCGGTTTGCGACGAAATGTTGTGTGCAAGGAAAGACCGCTGTTGAAAAAAGGAAAATTTGCGCGGTTGCGCTGTTAACCGCGTGCGAGCCATTCGCGGGATCGAATGCGCGGTAAGGGTTTGTGGAGACTGCACTTAGCTGTCCCACGTATGCGGATCACGGTGATCTCGCTCGAGTCTGCTTCGCTTTGTAGCGCAGAGTCACCTGCGTCGCCGTTCCGTACCCGTGGTGCTGGGCATGTGCATAGGACTCCCGCACTGTCAACGGCGTCTTCATCGTCTTCCAGGTATATTGTGGGCGCGACGGAACTTCCTCCGTCTTCGCTTTTTTCTTCAAAGAGACCGATCTCCTTGTCCCAGATTTCATGTCTGCTTTGCCTCTTCAATCCTAGACTCTTGACAATCTCTTCGAGCTCCGCCGCACTAATCCTGGCTCTTCCGCTCATCGCCTTTTCGAAATCGGGATCGGAGTCTTTGGGCGGGGAGTATGTGAAGCCGCTGAGTTGTGACCAGTCGCTCACTCTACGTGTGCTGACGGTAGATACGGAGAAGCGCGAAGATGGTCCTGGTTTTGTGACCCTACGAGGGCTGGATCGGGTTGAGGGTGCTTCGATGTCGAAGTCAAGGTTAGATTCGTCGTCGTGAAAGCGTGTTAGGCTGTTGTTGTTATGGCCGTGAGAGGGGAAGTATGCTGTATCAGGGCGGTAGATAACTGTTTGGCCAGAATAGCGAGAGTTATACGAGTTGTAGGAGTCATCCATCTCCGGCTCGTAAGACTCGGAGTAGCTGGGAACGAGATCGTCAACATCGCCGTGAATGAGGTGAACAGTGCTGCCGGCGATGGGGCCAGAGATGGCGGCCACACGCGGGGCTTTGCGGGGTGTATCGAGAGGATCACGGATTGCTCTACCAAGAGGCACCAAAGTACTGAGGTTGACGGCTATCATGGCAGCTAGGAATTCGATCATGCCCCAGGTAGTGAAATTCAAGTCGAAGTTGTTGCGATGGCCAACGTGACCCCAAGAGGTGTAGACCGTTCGGGTTCTGATGATGGCTACAGCGCATACACTGCAGATGTGTTAGCGGCCAATACTTCAGGGGCACCTTTGCGAACTATGAGAACATACAAGAGACCCAATAATAGAACTGCGAGGATGTGTAGCTTGGCTCCAAGATTGGAAGGAGTACCGACGGCGATGGGTAAAACAACGACGACCATCAGCACGTTGGACGCTGTGTTGATCGCTAGACGAATGGGTCAGGTCTGTTTGTTGGAGGCAAGAGTGTTGTACTTACAGTAATTCGCCATGGCCCAAATCTCGGACTCGCTTTGCGACATACAC